AATCTGTCCATATAAAAGACCTTTATGTGTATACAAAAAGAATGCGCTTAATTTAGCATCAGTAATTTAGCACCTGTATTTTTGGTGTCTTCCACACACTTTGATTCAGGTGTCCCAATTTACTTAGAACCTATGTGGCACCATGAGGAGGGCTTATGAACAGTCCTCACTTCTAGGAACTCACATCCGGAATAGCAACAGCAATTCTTGCAGTTAGATGTAATGTGATATTGTGAGTGCCATACAACAGAGATGGGCACAAATAACACAAAATGCTAAAGAAATTGAATGAGTCAATAGTAGATTCACATGCAAACAAAAGAAAATCCAAGTTTATTTCTTTCTCACACAAACAATTTTTGGAGGTAGGTGGTGCTGGCTGCCTGGTAACTCTACAATCATCAAGAACTCAGGATCCCTCTACCTCATTGTTCCACCATCATCAGCACTTGACTCCCACATCCTGGTCTAAAATAGCTGCTCAAGCATCCGTCATTAAATCCATCTTCTAGCAAGTGGGAAGAGGGAAGGAGTCAAGAATCGCGTGCCTTGCTTGCTGTAAGAACACCTCCTGGAAGTTAAGACACAGCACTTCTGTGTTCATCCTATTCACCACACTGTGGTCTCATGGCTGACCAGACCTAGCTGCAGGGAGAGGGTGATATGGTCTTTACTCTGGAAACCAGGTGCTGGTAGAAAAGAAGGATAGTTACTGGAGAAAATGGTTATTTTCTGCCTCAGGCATTCAGATAAGGTAGAATTTTATCTGGAAAGAAAAAGCAGATCTGGAAGGCTTCCATGGACAAGGATATATTTAAGCTAGATCTCTGAGGGAAAGCAGGAGTATGTCAAATATAGAATCAGCAGAAGCATTATATAGGCAGAGGGAGCAGTATAAGAGTTTGCTTTCAGGAAGCAGCCAGCCTGAGTCAGGAATGTAGTCAGTCACCACAGATCAGGAATGGCTTTTCTGTTTAGTGCTGGATGGGGAGCTAAGGAAACATTACACAATGTTCTCAGGATCTGGGCTACTTTGTCTCATCACATGTATCTAGCTGCTAAAAGCTGGATTATTACATCATGCCCATAGAATTGATTCCCTGACCTGAGGAGATAAATCAGAAAAAATATTGCTAGGAGAAATGTCTGAGATTTTACTGCCTATGTTTTCTTCTAGGATTTTTACGGGCTCAAGTGTAACATTTAAGTCTTTAATCCATTTTGAGTTTATTCTTATGTATGGTGTAAGAAGGTGGTCTAGTTTCATTCATTTTTTTATATCTGTCAGATACTCCCAACCCATTTATTTATTGATAATCTGTCAGACTATCTTTACCCCATTGTATGTTTTTGCCTCTTTTGTCAAATATTGACTACAAAAGCATGAGTTTGTTTCTGGGCTCTCTAATCTGTTACATTGCTCTGTATGTCAGTTTTTATGCTGTTTTGATTACTGTGTACTTGTAGTATAGTTTGATATCAGGTAGCATAATTCCTTCAACTTTTTCTTTCTCAAGATTGCTGTTGCTATTTGGGGTCTTTTGTAGTTACATATAAATTTTTGGAATATTTGTTCTAGTTCTGTGAAATAGGCTATTGATATCTTGATAGGAATTGCATTGAATCTATAAATTGCTTTGGGTAGTGAGGACATTTAATGATGTCAAATTCTTCCTATTCATGAACACAGTATATACTTTCACTTTTTTATATCTTCTTCAGTTTTTTTCTTCAGTGTCTTATAATTTTTCAAGTACAGGGTTTTTACTTCCTTGGTCAAATTTGTTCCTATGTTATTCTTTTTGAAGCAGCTGTGAATGGAATTTTTTTTTTTTTTGGTTTCTCTTACTGATAGTTCATTATTGGTGTATTAAATTCAACTGATTTCTGGATACTTATTTTGAATCCTCCTTTATTGAATTTGTTTATCAATTATAATATTTGTTTTTTGGTGGAATCTTTAGGCTTCTCTATGTACAGTATCATGTCATCTGCAAATAATGACAGTTTTATTTCTTCCTTTCCAATCTGGATGCCTTTTATTTCTTCTTCCTGTCTGATTGGTTTTATGTTGAATAAAAGTGGTAAAAGCAACATCTCTGTCTCATTCTTAATCTTAAGGGAAACGCTTTTTGTTTTTGCCCATGGAGTATGATGGATGTGTCATATGTGGCCTTTATTACATTGAGGTATATTCCCTTTATTTCCACTTTGCTGAGAGTTTTTTTTTTTTTTTTTTATTTTTATAAATGCATTCTGGATTTTATCAAATGCTTTTTCTGAATCTATTGATATGATCATGTGGGTTTTTTTTTTTTTTTTAAGCTTTAATATTGTTTTTATTTTTTATGGGGTAATAATCTCTTACTTCAATACTTTGTGTGTTCTGTGCTTTATACACATTTCCCCGACTAGGTATTATTTATTTTTTAACTCATCTTTATTGTTGAATGTATTACAGATGTTTCTTCCTTTTTCCCCCCATTGACCCCCCCCCCCCATTCCTGCCCCCTCCTGCCTTTCCCACACTATTGTTGGTGTCCATTGGTTGTGCATATATGCAGAGAAGTTCTTTGGTTTATCTCATCCCACCCTCCCTCCCCCTTTCCCTCTGAGGTTCATCAGTCTAACAACCAATTTGTACTTCTTAATTCCTTCATCTTTTTCACCCATCCCCTCCGCCCCCACCCATCTGGCAAGCAACAAAAATTCTCTGTATCTATGAGTCTGTTTCTGTTCTGCTTGCTCATTTTGTTTGTAGATTCAATTGTTGATAGATATGTATTAATTGCCATTTTATTGTTCATATTTTTGTTCTTTTTTGCCTTCAAGAAGACCTTCAGCATTTCATATAATACTGGTTTGGTGGTGATGAATTCCTTTAACTTTTTCTTGTCTGGGAAACTCTTGATATGGCCATTGATTCTAAATGATAGCTTTGCAGGATAGAGTAATCTTGGTTGTAGGTCATTGTTTTCCATAACCTTGAATATCTATTGCCATTCCTTTCTGGCCTGCAAAGTTTCTTTTGAGAAATCAACTGACAATCTTATGGGAGCTCCTTTGTAAGTAACGGCCTGCTTTTCTCTCGCTGCTTTTAAGATTCTCTCTTTGTATTTAAACTTTGGCATTTTGATGATGATGTGTCTTGGTGTGGACTTCTTTGGGCTCAACTTGTTTGGGACTCTCTGTGCTTCCTGGACTTGTATGTCTGTTTCTTCACCAAGTAAGGGAATTTTTTGGTGATTATTGTTTCAAATAGTTTTTCAATTTTTTGCGCTCTCTCTTCTCCTTCAGGCACCCCTATGATGCGAACGTTGGCATGCTTGAAGTTGTCCCAGAGGCTCCTTACCCTATCCTCATTTTTTTTTTTTTATTCTTTTTTCTTTTTGTTGTTCTAGTTGGGTGTTTTCTGCTTCCTTATATTCCAAATTGATGGTTTGATTCTTGGCTTTACCTACTCTACTATTGATTCCCTGTAGATTATTCTTTATTTCAGTTAGTGCATCCTTAATTTCTGATTGGCCCTTTTTTATGTTGTTGAGGTTCTCACTAAGTTCCTCAGAGGTCTCCTTAAGTTCCTTGAAGGTCTCACTAAGTTCCTTAGATGTCTCACCAAGTTCCCTGAGCAATCTTATAACCTGTGTTCTGAACTCTGCATCTGTTAAATTGCTTATCTTCATTTTGTTTAGTTTTTTTCCTGGAGTTTTGTTCTTTTCTTTCATTTGGTACATGTTTCTTTGTATCCTTATTTTGGCTGCGTCCCTGTGATTGTTTATATGTATTAGGCAGAGTTGCTATGCCTCCTAGGCTTTGTAGGGTGGCCTACTGTTGTAGGTGTCCTGTAGGATCCAGTGGCACAGTCTCCCTGATCATCCCAGCAGGGCCCTCACAGTGCACCCCTAGTGTGGACTGTACACCCTTCTCTTGTAATTGAGTCTTGATTGCTGTTGGCACATCAATGGGAGGGGTTTACTTAGGCTACCTTGGAGGATCAGCTGTGCAGGGGCCCACCACACAGAACAAGACTTACTTCAGCAGGGCTCTGGTACCCACTGAGCCCACTCATTGAATGTGTCACTTGTGGAGGTGGTTGGGTGGTGGTGTTTTGATGTGGTTTGAAACTGTCCACCAGGTGTGCTGGCTCTGGGGCAAGGCCAACCACTACCTGTGCTCTATCCAGGGCCACCCGGCATAAGCTACAAAGTGAACTGCAAATGGCTGCTTCTTGTGCTGGGCTTGGAGGTGACCAGGAAAAGCCAAATTGTGAAGCAAAGCTAGCTGCTTCTAGTGCCAGGCCTGGGGCCACTTAACGAGAGGTATGGGGCTTGCTGAGTCTGGCCCCTCTTGAGCCCTAGCTCCACACCACTCTTGTAGGCCACTGGTTTGCACAGGCCCCTCTAGATCCCCAGCTTCCCTCTGCTCTTGTGGGCAGCTGTGTTGCACAGGGCTGTATGGAGCCCCTGGTCCCACTGCTGGTGGCTGGGGAGTGCTGCTGCACAGTGGGGCTCAGATCCTGTTTAGCCTTTGCTGTAGTTTTTGGGGATGATTTTCTGCTGCTGATCTGTGCTTCTGTTGCCTGGGGATGGATGTCTGCTCCCCAGCCTCTGTTGCTGGGGGTATATCTCGACTCTGATTGGGCTGCTACTGCAGGATATGGTGCTGGGTTCCCAGCTGGCCCTTTGTGGTTTCTGCAACTGGCACCTTGACAGCTCTACTACTGTGCACTGGTTTGTGTTGACACAGAACCCTATGGTGCCAGGTGGACTGGTGGGCTCAGGTACTGGATGCTGCTTGTTTGAGAGATTTTAGGAAACTCTGAAACAGGATCCAAGACAGGCCAACCCTATGGTAAAGCCTTTGGAAACAGCTTGGGTGGGCCTGAAAGTTGGGTGGGGCGGGGCCTCAGATAATCACCAGGGTGGGGACAACAGTGTGAGCCAGGTTGCTGGAGTCCCAGATATGGTGGCTGTCTGCCTGCCCTGTGGGGGAAGGGCTCACCAAAGGAAAAACAGCCTCCACCAGCATGTCTGTACAGGAGAAAGCTACCCCTCCAGCCCTCGTCTTTGTTTGGAGGCCAAACAGCACAGTTCTTCCCTGTTCTCTGGTGCTCCTCAAGCTGCCTCCCCTAGGAGCTCAGAGGGAGCAAGTCTGAGTAAGTCTGTGCACAGGCCCTTTAAGAGGAACTGCTGGGGTTTCCGAAGCCGCAGCCTCCCTCTGCCTCAGTTCCTGCTGGTTTTTCCAGCCAGGAGTTATGGGGACTTTTCTTCCTGGCACTGGGACCCTGAGCTGGGCACCTGGTATGGGATGGGGACCCCTCAGTCCTCAGGGAGGACCTTTCCAGCGGAGGTGTCCTCCTGAATTTTACCCACCAAACGGGTGTGGGACCAGCCCGTCTGCGCCTCTGCCCCTCCTACCAGACTCTGTGGCCGCTTCTTTAATTCCATAGTTGTAGGACTTCCATTCAGCTGGATTTCAGGCGGTTCTGAATGATGGTTGTGTTGTAGTTTTGTTGTAATTTTGATGTGGTGGTGGGAAGAGGTGATACTGCATTTACCTACGCCGCCATCTTGACCCACCTCTATGATCGTGTGGTTTTTATTCTTTGTTTTGTTTATGTGGTGTATCACTTTTATTGATATGCAGATATTGTACCAACCTTGCATCCCTGGAATAAATCCTACTCAGTCATGGTGTATGATCTTTTTAATGTGTTGCTGAATCTGGTTTGTAAAATTTTGTTGAAGATTATAACATCTATGTTCACCAGGGATATTGACCTATTATTTTCTTTCTTTGTAGTGTCTTTATCTGGCTTTAGAATTAGTATAATTCTGGCCTTGTAAAATAAGCTTGGGAGTCTTTTCTTCGAAATTTTTTGAATCGTTTGAGAAGATACCCATAGAATTAAAAAATAATTTAAAAATATATCTATAGAAATTATTTTAAATGTGCATTAAAAAGTATAATCACTTGTTAAATTAAGGAAGATATTTAGAAATTTAATTAAATCTGGATTCTGATTATGACATGTATCAAGTGTGAAATAATCATCTCTAAAACCTTTCACACATGTGTTCATTTACTAATAGGCATCATAATAGCATAACATCATGCTTAAAACAAAGAAACACTTAGTCCTGAAACAGAAAAGTAGGCAACGCAAGATGGGCAGTGCAGCATTGGAATAATAATAGTAATAGACACTTAGTGGCCCTTGCCCTGTGCCAGGTATGCTTCTAAGCATGTAGCACATATTAATTTAATCTTCAGAAAATACCGTGAGCTAGGTTTCTATTACTATCTCCATAACTAATATGTAGGGAAGGATAGACAAACCCAACTAACCTGGCTCCTTAGCCACTATACTAGCTGGCAACAGGGAATTGGGTGTGGGGTAGAACCCAGCTCCATGGCTAACTAGAGATGAGACTCTTGGGAAAGTTATTTCATCCCCCTGTGTCTCCTTTTCTTACAGTTTCTATGATTCCATGAGAAGCTATATGTAAAAGATGTAGCCTGGGGCTTGGCACAAGGTAATTGGTTAATAGTTAAAAGGTTGAACAAGACTGAGTCATTAATCATAAACACTAGCCATATTTTGTCCTTAACCATACAAACCAAAAGACAGACCTAAAGCTATTTCTGACATGGCTTTAAATTCTCTTTCAAAAGAGTAAAATTTCTCCTTCTATTCATTTACCCCAATTCCCTGAGGTCTGTCTCTCTGCTAGTTCTTGAGTTTGAGCAGATTTTTATAGCCATCTGCTACAGTGTTGTGTAACAACAAACAATAGCATCCTAAAAATGTTTACAAATGCTTCTTACATTAGTGCTGTATATTTTTTCATTAAGCTGTGACATCGCCATTGAAAAATTATTTTAATCATTGAAAACTGAATTACATGAGGAGAAAGCATCAAGAGATAGTACTTAAAAGGCTGGATGTACATTAATTGCTTTAGCTAATGAAAGAAACATGACTTAGCCAATGCATACAACATGAATCCTAAGATGCACGGACAATTGACTACGGTAATAAAACAAGTATTAGTGTGTTGCATCTGAAATCCTCATTATGCTTCATGCAGCAAAGCCCATGGTGTACCTGCTGTTCAGTGTGTGCTTCCTCCTCTTGACACCACAAGCTAATTATAGCGCAGGGTGAAAGCACGTGACCTATGTTTCCACAGTTTGGGGACCTTCGAGAACCCTGCAAATTATGTCTGGTGACTCTTTTTACTTTTTAATCTGATAAAAGTAGGTGTTGGTCAAAATGATTTTGGGATATTCTGTGTTCCATAGGCAATTTTAATTAAAATATTAATTATTTAAATATGCACACACTATATTTCACTTACATTGGGATCTTGCTTTATCTCCCTTGGCTTTCTAAACTAGTAAATTATTAACTCAAGGATAATTTATGGCACAGTGTTCAAGATGCTGTCCATTGATTTTTTTGTCTGTCTTTTCATTTCATGAACCTTAAAGATAATGATAAAGTCATGTCATTTAAGAGACAGAAAGAGAATTGAATGCCTTATTTTCACTATTCTAGAATCACATAGCAATGGGATTATGTAGCTTATAAACAGGCTGTATTAACTACAACCTTCTGTTCATAGATGAAAAATATTACTCTATTAGGACCCTCAGTAAAACTTGATACTACCTAAATGCCCCCCCAAACTTCCCACCACCTTTTGGTGTGAGAATGGGTGGTCTGAGGAATCTCTACAGGGATCATCTAACCCAGTCTAGGGTATCCTAAAGGGCTGGAGGAGATAGTATCTACATGGAAATAGAAGGGAAACAGGAGTAGTAGGGACATTCCAGTTTGACTTTCTGTGTTTGGCAAAGAGGCCGTGGATCCCCGTGACAGGGGTAGGGGAGGGGTGGGAAATGTGAACACAAGGTCAGAAGGTTAAAGAACTTGTAAGACATATTTTTGGGTCTCAAGGAGGATTTTGGTAATAGGTGAAGACAGAGAACACCTTCCTAAGATGTCTTCGATTAACAATTGAGTAATGCAGGCTCGTCATGCTGTAGGATTTCTCTGGAGAAAGTATTTGGACTCTTCCTTCAATAAAATTCTATGATACATGATTTCACTCTGGTGGGAAGAGAAGGCTTCATGGAAAATGTAAAGATTCAGCTGGGCCTTGAAAAATGGGTAGATTTTTATGACATTTCATTTCAATACAATTTTAAACTTTCAGAAAAGTTAAAAGCAGAGTATGACTAATCTCCTTATGCTTTATCCAGATCCACCAATGCTCACATCTTGCCCCAATTGTTCTTGTTCTCTTTCTTACACACACATGCTCACACACACATCCTGACACAGATATTTCCTTCTGTACCATTGAAAGTTGGAGATGCTTTGCTCCTTTACTCCAAAATACATCAGTCTATTATTTCCTAAGAAAAAGAACATGCTTTTATATAATCATAGTCAAATAATAAAACTTATGACATGTAATAAGAAATAATTCAGATCCAGGCCTTTCTGTCACTGACAGTCCATAGTCAGATTTTGTCCCTTATCTCAATCATGTTCTTGACAGGATTGAGCCTTCCAGGGCAGAATCATTGCCTGTAGTGTCTCTATCATTGTCTGCTCATTTTGATAGTTCCTAATTTTTTTTTTTTGTCTTTCTTGATCTTGAGACTTTGGAAAGGTATAAGTCATTTATTTTGTTGAATGTCCCTCAGTTTGGGTTTATCTAATGTTTCTTTATGATTAATTTTAGATTATGCATTTTTGGAAAGAAGGACGTTAGGTTGTATCCTCCTTAGTACATCATGATAGGAGGAGACACAAAATGTAGGTTTGTCCCCATATCAGTGATATTAACAGTGATAACTTAGGATGGTGTCCACTAGATTTTATTACTGTAAAAATCATTGATTTTCCCCTGGGTAATTCATAGACATTTTGTGGGGAGAGACTTTGTGGCTATGTAAATGTCATGTTCCTCATCAAACTTTCGTCTGATGGTTTGAGCATCCATTGATGACTGTCCAATCCATTGATGCATCCATTGATGACTGCTTCTGGATATTAGTTTATCCTACTATATCTATATCACTATAAGGAAGAGCTTTTCTGGTTCCCCCACCTATGTATTCATTTACTTATATCACTGTGGGCTCATTTTTTTGAAAAAAACAAGTTGTAATCCACTAGTGTCATTATTTTGATATTCAAATTATCCTTGATTTTACCTCTGGAAGTTCCTTCAAATTGGTTCCTTTTTTTAGTAGTTTCTATCATTCTTTGAACACTTTTTGACTTTCTGGGGTAATATACTACTCCAGGATCATTTTGTAATTTCCCTGCCCCAGTCTTAGACTCTGCCTTTTATTCCAGGAGTACGGTTCCTAGCACCGAGGTTTGAGTGTACTCATTACTATCAAGGTGTTATTGTTCTAATATCTTTGGCAGACAGAGCTAGGATATATTTATTATATTATATTATATTATATTATATTATGTTATATTTATTATATTATATATTATTATATGGTGTTTTTTTTCTTTATTGATTTTTAGAGAGCGAAGAAAGGAGAGAGAGGAAGAGATAGAAACATTGATGAGAGAGAACATCAATTGGCTGCTTCCTGCATGCCCCCCACTGGGTATCAGGCCCACCACCTGGGCATGTGCCCTGACCGGGAATTGAACCGGCAACCTCTTGGTGCATGGGTTGATGCTCAACCACTGAGCCTCACTGGCCGGGCATGTTGTATTATATTGTATTGTATTATATTAGTCTTTCTACATTAAAAAACCATGAGTTCACACTGATAATGGCATCTTCTAGTCTTTCTTGCTTCTATATTTATAACTTCAATAGTGAGACACCTATCTCAGAATGAATACATTTTTAAAAGGCAGAGAAAAATAAGAAAGTTTTTCTGATCTTGAAGAATCTGTGAGACATCGAGGTGGAGAAAGGTCTGGATCTGAGTTATTTCTACCAAAGGAAACATTGTCCGGAATTTATTACATTTTATAGAGTGGTATAAATGCTAAGAAGGTCTAAGTTGCAGGATCTGCATGGGATTAGGGGTCATATAATCACGTGTATGCCTCCCAGTTTCTTCACAAGGAAATCATCATCTCCGCCTTCATTGTAGAGGGCGGGGAGCACCTTCTGTGCAAAATGCTTATATGGGTTTTAATAATGCCTTGCCTTCAACATTGAGATATTTAAGACTGACCTCTTATTGAACTATTTGTGGTATAAGGTTTCTCTACCAGAGATCATGAACTTGGCAATAAATCCTGTACAACAAAACACTCTCCTAAAAAAAAAAAAAAAAGAAAGAAAGAAAAGAAAAAAGAAAACCAAATCTCTTTTCCAATAAATTTTGATATAGAGTTCATCTTTTAGGTTAAATGGTAAAACCTCTTCAAAATGTAATTGCTGAGCCTTTGTTCATGAACCAAGAAATTTTTTTTCATGACTTGTCTTCTTTTGTAATCTTCCTAATTATGGGCAGACACTATTATGCTAGTCACTGTTGAGCGAGATTCTTACCACTGTTATTATTATTTGTCTGTGATCAGTTGAAGATGACTTGAGACTGCAAAACCAGGTGCCAGGGTGTTTATTGGATGACTGAGATTTCTTTTTCAGCATGTGGTGAAAGAAAAACAATTTCAAATCTTTTTAAGGTGTGTGTGTAGGAGGGGGAGGGAGAACAATATGTTTCCGAATTAGGCCAATGGCTATTTGCTGCTTATTATTGGAGAAGGAACACTGAGTACTAGATGATCAAATTCTCCCAGCCTAGGGACATGATTCAGTGTCAACTGGAAGGAAAATTGTCCCTTTCAAGTGAATACTTGCAGAACATAATGCTCTCACAGAAACCTTGGCCCCAAGATAACAGGTTGTTTCTTGTCAAGTTACGAAATTTTGAAGAACTTAACCTGGTCACAGGAGGGGCGTCAGGTTTGAGCTAGGCGTACAAAATATGAAGCTAGGAAGGGATGAATTCCCATCAGGACTAATCCTTCCTTCCTTCCTTCCTTCCTTCCTTCCTTCCTTCCTTCCTTCCTTCCTTCCTTCCTTCCTTCCTTCCTTCCTTCCTTCCTTCTTAATTTATTTTTGTTACAGATGATTATCCTTTTCCCCCCATTGACACCCTCCTCCCAATCCCGCCCCCACTCCTTTACCCAGCATTGTGGTCTATGTCCATGGTTAAGGGTACATGCATATAAGTTCTGTGGTTCATCTCTTGCCTTGCCCTGTTCCCCTCTTCTGAGGTTTGTCGATCTGTACCCTACTTCTCTGTCTCTGGGTCTATTTTGTTCATCAGCTTGTTTTGTTCATCATATTCCACAAATAAGGGAAATCATGTGATATTTTCTTTCTCTGATTGGCTTGTTTTGCTTAGGATAATGGGAAGGGCAGGACCCGGTTGGCAGAGGGCTGGCTCCTGAAACAAATATTTGGTCTATTCAGTGAAGCATCTTTCTGAGACATTTTTTTTTTCTTGTATAGGAATTAGTGTGGAGGGCGGGAACCAGGCCGATCAGTCAGTGAAGCGGACACTGCTTTATGTTCTCTGTTCCCTTCTCTTACGCTGTTCCTCACAAACACCTCAAAGCCCCATTTCGTTTCATAATAATTTTGTAATACTAAACCCACAATAATGCACATGAAGCACTTAACATGGTGTGTGTCACATAAAAAATATTTAGTGTTTAGCAGTAATGATTAATTTTGGAAGTTATGAAAATTTCTTTACAAAAATGGATGTTAGAAATGTCACATCATTTTCTTTATATTCAATTAAATTTAGCCTCAAGTCGCCTGCATGCTGGTTGGCAGAAAATCTACTATCAGTCATTATTAGACCGTCCCTGTCTCAGTTCTTGGGACCTAATAAAGAAAATAAAGTCAGCCCTGGTTGGTTTGGCTCAGCAGTTAGAGCATTGGCCTGCGGTCCAGAGAGACCTGGGTTTGGTTCTCGCTAAGGGCATGTACCTCGGTTGCAGTTTGTCCCCGGCCCTGGTTGGGTCGTGTGGGTGGCAGCCACTTGATGTGTACCTTTCACGTCGATGTTTCACTCTCTCTCTCTTCCTCTCTCTCCCTCCTGCTCTATCTTACCAAAAAATGAAAAAATGTCCTCGGGTGAGGATTAAAATAAAATAATAAAATAAATAAAATAAAATAATCTAAGGCATGCATGGCTACTTGATGTTAGGGGACCCTGGACACCTCTGCCCTGCATGGTCCTGGGGACTCTGGAGCACACCTTGAGGCCAAAGGCCCAGCCTCCTGTGGGGCAATAATTAGTGGCTCTGCACTAAAGTCTTGCACCCTCACCATTGTGTGAGGGGCCTCAGAATTCGTCCTGGTCTTGGGGGTTCCCGTCTCTCCTGCTGTTTTCTTCTCTCTTCTTTATCACATGTCATGTTTGCAAAGGTTCAGCTCCCTTTACCCTATGGCAGGGTTGGCAGATTTTGCAGAAAACAAAGCAATAACAAGTCACACTGTGAAATGTGAATTTTAGATAAACAGTGAATAACTTTTCAGTGTAAGTTTTTCCCCTGCAATACTTGGGACATAGTTACACTAAAACAAACAAACATTTGTCTGCAATTGATATTTAACTGGGAAACCTACATTTTATCTTGCAACTCTACCCTAAGAGTTACTGCTTTTGAAAGACTCAGGAATAGAATTGTAGGGTTGAGTCTTTCAGTGCAAATCTTCAGTGTGGTAGAGAGAAGACAACCTATATAGACTTAGAAAGGTGCAGGGGAAAACCCACCGTGGACAAACACAGAATAATGTCTATAAATATTCCTGTTACTCTCATCATTATGATCATCCTGTTCATCATCCCCCCTGGAGATGTGCTGCTTAAGAGTCAGTCCCCTTGGGGGAGGCAGTATTAAAGGATCCTTTTCTAAGTACAGTATTAATTAAGATAAAGGAGGCATAGCAAGTCTGCAAGCTGAGGCAGGGGGATAGGAACAGGGGCAGAAGTGCAGAGAGGTACCTCACAGCTTCACTTGCTGGCCTGAGGTGGGCATCTTGGGCAGCCTAGGATGGCAGAATTGATACCGACCTGATTCTATTCAAGTCTCTGCTTTGTCACCACGACCACCATGCTGTGTCACCTGGGGCAGGTTGCTTGACGTGTCTCTGCAGCTCAGACCACTCCTGTGAGAGTCAAACCCAGATGTGCTCCTGAATGTTTCATAGGTACCTCAAAGTCGACATGTGCCATTGGGAACCTATCCCTCTCTCCAGACCTGCTTTCTGTGTTCTTTGTGTTGGTGCGATGACACCACCATCGGCCCAGACCTCCAGGCCAGATCCTTACCAGTCATCCTACACTTGGCCGCCAGTCTTATCCCTGGTGATTGCCAGAATGGGTCAGGTCCACTTGGATGGCTAGGCATGTGCCCTTGTTCCCTTCATTGCTGCCCAAAGTGAGGTCCTTCTTAGACAGGAGAGGGACCATTCCAACTTTTCCCAGGAAGACAAAGTCACTCTCAGGTGGCCAGAGAGAACAGAAAATGACTGTACATTTGGAGGGAGAATTGAGTTAAATATACATCTGTACCTTTTATAATGGCGTAGTGATAGTCCACTCTACCTTCCTTTTCTGCCCACCCCCCCATTAAGGGTTGAGTTTTTTTTAAACAGGTATAATTGATATGTAACATTATATTAGTTTCAAGCATAATGATTCAATATTTATGTATTGTGAAATGATCACCACAGTAATCTAATTAACAGTCAGCCTCCCCCCCCCAAATTCACCCCCCTTTTTTGAAGTCACTTGAATGCATCTCTGTTCCTGTCTATCAAAACGGCATAACAAACAGAAACTCATTTTACTTTCTTTTTCTCAATGGACAGGAGATGTCGACTAATACTAGGGTGGCAGGGTATTATACTAGGGTCTGCTTACACCTTGGACACTTCTTGTTTTCCAGAATTGAAGAAAAATGTATGTTAGAATATGCCACAAGGGCAGTTTCCTGAATGATACACCCATGCGCAGAAAGTTATTAAATCCGTAGAGATTAGAGAACAAGGTAAGAAGGCATTTGAAAATAATTAACCAATCTTCTCTATTCTTGAAATAGCTTCTCTTCCCCAGGAGCACAGAGGAAAGAAGCCAAATAATAGGGGAATGGATGAGAAAGCACAAGACCACTTCATGATTCCTGCTTTTTAAGGTAGAAAAAAATCACTCATAACTGCATGCCCTTTCCTGGTTATGTCACAGGAAGGCACATGGCAAAGGGATAGGAGAAGAAGCAGAGTTATTAGTCATGTTGGACAAAAGTGTTAAATTGTTGGGAAAGGGGGGGAGGATCGCATCTCAATAATTCCAGAGAAATACAACCTAAGTGAAATAATTTCATGATGGTTTTGGATCATTCCAGCCCAGTCAACAGAAAGGTTCAAAATGACCTGTAACAAACAGGTTGATTGTTACAAAATTATCCCAGGAGAAATGCATGTGTGTACACACAATCAAAAACACTATACTTTATATTTTTATGTATTTATATATATAAAATGATATGTGATATATATATATATAGCACTCAAAATGTAAATTTTTGACACTCTCTAAACAAAAATTAGATTTAGAATTAAGTTTGGATCCTAGCCAGCTGTGCTAAGCACCTGATACATGTGATAGGATTTGAATATAGAAGGCAGGTGTTTTCTGCCTTTTGAGTTCCACAAAATTCCAGTCTGTGTGTATGTTTGTGTGTGTGTGCATGCTTATGATTCTTTTCTTCAAAGTTTGCAAGCATCCCCGTCTATTGTGCCTCTCAGATCTCTGGCTGGAAACATAGCTGGGAGCTGATCAATGCCATCCCGGTCGGTGCTGGATCACCGCCAGAACTGATTGGTGAGTGTAATGAAGCTGTACCTTAAGAAACTGTTTACTGAGTGTCTGCTAAGTGCTAAGTACCTTCATGATAATCTGCCAGTTCAGAATTTTATCCATTTTACAATAAGGACTAAAGTTCAGTCACTTACTTGTGGTCACATTTGACCTCCAAGTGACTAAGCTGGAGTTCAGTTCCATGGTGTCGAACTGGAAAGCCCGGGTCTCTCTGTGGTTAGTGATGACATGTGTAAGTGGTTTGGAACAGGGACTCTGGCGCCAGACTGAGTTTCAATCCTGCTTCTGTGGCTTTCTAGCTGTTTTACCTTGGGCAAATTATATAACCTCTGTGGTTCAGCTTCCGCATCCATAAAATGGGAATAATATTATGGACTGATAATGATAATAATATTAATAAAGTTGTCCAGAGGATTAAATCATACAATATGTATAAAGTGCCTATCCCATGCATTGTAAGACCTGATCTGTATTGGTGGTGACATTACTGTTATTCTGAATGGGAAGTGTCCAGGGTACAGATGCTCATCGAAGCCAGGCAGTCAGGATTGCTCCCTCCTCGGAGGTCCAGAGTTTTCCAACAAGCCCATGTTTACTTTCCAGACTCTTTGGGAAAACCTGTGAGCCTGGTGTGAATGGGATGGCTTTTCACTTAGAATCACCTCATCCAAAATCATAGACATATCTCCCTCCTGGGAAATATAAATTATTTGATTCTAATGTTCAAAATACACCTTCTCTGAATGCCTCCCACCATGGCGCCTAAGTGAGGGGCTTTCCACCTCAAAATGAGGTCATAAAGACACAATTATTCTCTTCCTCAGAGTAGACACGACCAGGCTCATTTACAAAGTTACTCAGCTGTGACTTGGCCACTTAAATAACCCTATTGTCTAAAGATATTCCTCGCTGCAGCAGTTTACCCCCAGGAACCCCCAGGAACCGTGTTACAGAGAAATACAAATAAATACAAGTACGTTCTGCACCAGTGGTGTTACAGTGCTATATTTTGTCAGTTATAAATTATATCTGGTCTTTGGTGGGAGGGAGCCAACAATTCCGTTGCCCAAGAAAGAATTTCATAAGAAATAATAGACCCTCATAATTTGGAAGTCTCATATGCTGGTTTGATTTTGTTCTGGCAGATTTTAGAAGCAAACAGTTCTCTGAATGCCTAAAAGTAATGCCTAGGATTCTGTGTTCACATATTTAAGCTATGTATTTAGATACCATTTAAGCATTCCAGGGTGTTAAGGGTGTTTACAAAGGAAACTGCTGGAGGCAAATTCAGGCAGTTCCTTAAATTAATAATGCTTTTTTCCGCAGTCCAGTTTTTCCATCCCGTTCTGCTACAGCCAGAGTGCATCTTCTCCATTTATTCAGGAGATAATGATAATTTCTATTTACACGCTGCTTTTCATCTGGAAGCCGCCCCCCCTCCATCATGGTCTGCCCCCTTCTGCATGGCAACAGGGAATGCAGTCTGCAGCATTCACTCATTGGTCAGTGAGGAGAAGAGACACCTCAAAGCAAACACTGAAATAAAGAGGCTGAAAGAAAGGCAGGAGGAAAAGAAGGAAACTCAACATGTTGGCATGTTTGCTTAGGAGAGGGGCCTGGCCCAGAGAGCAAAGTATTCTTCCAGAACCACACCTGCACTTTTGTACGAATAAGTAGTGTTTAGGGGCTTGGAGCTAGACACACCCACATTTAAGTGTCTTTAGTATAATCATGTGACCTCTTTGAGACTTGTTTTTTTCATCTGTTAAAGGAGTACAATATTTCCTACTTTCCTGGCTTGTGTGGGTGTGTATAGTATGTAATAAGGGTTAGTATATGATTGTTAGTATTTGCTGTCTCATTATCATAGTGTTGCTATACTATTACTGTCATTATTATCTATACAATTACATCTGATGGGGGCTGTACCCTTCAAAGGGGCCACTCTCTGCCTGGCTCTACCTGCCTATGTCTTTAGTCCCATCAATAGAGACAATGTTGAGGTTTACACAAAAGAGAGCAGGGTTTTATCATCCACAAGCCTAAATTACAATGTATCCTTATGGGCCAAGGAGAACACTTGGTGTTCCATTAGCATGGACTCTAACAAAAATACTTTAGACACTAATCTTCAAATTTTAGTATGCAAAACTGTCATCTGGAGGAATTTGAAAATATGCAGATTGCAGGGCCCTGTCCTGCATTGTCAGGTACAGTACGGCAGCCCAGTAATCTGATTTCTCGTGGTTCCCAGGTGGTGCTGATGTTGCTGCTCGGGGACTACACCTTGAGTCCTGCACATGAGCTTCTAATTACCATCTTGGAAGCCATTAGCAGTCTAATCTTCGAAGGGTGTTTTGTATTTGAGGCCCAGAGAGTCCGGAAGAGGCTGGGGCATCAAAGGTGAAGTCAGGGATAGGGTGAACACCTGCAGAAGCTGAAGGCGGAAAGGGGAGGGTGGGTATCAAGACCCCATGCCACCTAGTTCACAATCTGCTGGGACTCTTGACTTAGGGTTTTTCTCCTTTCTCCTCTTCCTCTTGGCTTCCTCACTCTTTAACCACTCTTATCTTTGTGGGTTTCCTCTTCTTTCTACCAAGTCACCGCCAGATGGGCCTGATGAGGGACATGGGAAGAGTTTTCTCAGGTAGTAGAAAGAGCAAGCATAATGGCCTAGAGGTTAGGTCACAGGTACTGAAAGCAGTTCAACTTGGTAAAGCCTAGAAAGCAAAGAAATTCCAGCTTGAGAAGATGCCCTGGATAACAGCCACGAACTGGACTTGATTCTAAGTACCGGTGGAAGCTACCAAAGGGTCTTAGCAGGGGAGTGACACTAAGTGCTTGTCGTGTGGGCCTGCACTGTGAGGAGCTGGCTGGAGGAGCCGAAGCCTGGACTTAGGGGGACCAGAGATCAGGTGTCCAGGCACGAGGCAATGGTGGCCTAGATTAAGCTGACACGGCGGGAAGGAAAAGACTTGTGAGTCCTCGTCTTGCTGTAATAAAGTTCTTGAATAATATCTGTCCTTTATTCTAGTGGTGTGTCCCCCCAGTGGCTCCCATTGTGCATCAGAATTAGCTGGTAGGCTTACTAAAGTATGTATGGCTGCATTTCAGTACTCATGGCTGCATTTCAGTACTCACAGACTTTTTGATTCAGTGAGTAAGGGTGAGGTCTGAGAATTTCTGACAAGCTCCCAGAGGTTGCTGCTGCTGCTGGTTCTGGGACCACACTTTGAGAAACACTGCTTTATTCCTGCCTTTAAAAAAAGAGGATTATTGGGCCTTTCCAGGTGAGCGTGTTCTCAGCTTTTGGTAACCAGGATCTTGGTGTTTAAACAAAACATCGAATCTACTTGCTAAGACTCTACCCCTCAGGATCTGCCCTAGCTCACCAGGCTCAATTAATTTGTCTTCATGAACCATCGGCCTTGCCCTAACTTTTCCAAAAACTGCTTCCTCTTAGCCTTCACTTGGCTTACACAGCAAGTGGGACCTGCTCATCCCAAAGTGATCCTAATGAACTCTCTCTGGGTCAACTCCCGGAGTAAATGACTTGGATAACCCAGCATGCCTGTAATACTTTATTTATTTAAAGATTCTGAGCCCTCCTACCCCACAATCTTGTGCTGAACCAGGACAAACCAAAAAACAATTAAGAGTTTAAAAATGTTTCTTTATTCCACAAGTTGCTTCTTTGTTCTCGGACTCCTTCTGTGTGTCTTTAATTCTCACAGATGGTCAACCTTTCTTGATTTCAATTTTGGCAAGAACCCTCCTGGCCCATGCAGGAACACATTAAACATTCTCTGCTGATGGTACTAGAAAACAAAAGTTAACTGTAAGATTGCTGTCTTGGTCAGTTATTATACTGTTCTCTCACTTTGGAAGGGTTAGTAAGAGTATGCATCAGTCACAGGCCTTCTTTCTTTCCTTTATTCTCTATTTTTTAAAATGGTTTTTTTATTTTTATTTTTTTGAGAGAGAGAGGAAGGGAGAGGGAGAGAAAGAAACATTGATGAGAGCGAAACATAGACTGCCCCTTGCACGTCCCTCACTGGGAATCGAGCCTGAAACCCAGGCATGTGCCCTGACCAGGAATCGAACCAGCGACCTCTTGGTGCATGGGACAATGCTCAACCAACTGAGATATACCAGCTTGGCTTTCTTTCTCTTTTAAAATTTTTTTCCGGACTCAATCCTTGCAGTCTAGGTGTTTTGCAGCTTGGAATATCTTGCCACAAAATTGGTGTGGTTACCATATCTACTGCACTGAATATATATTCATGCTTCCTATGTGCCCTCCAGAGACATGAAGGCTATTGTGATCTCTGCTGTACCTTCAGCTCCCTGTATGATCCAGCAACTTGCCACACAGTGACTTTGGGGTATGAGAATGGGTTCCTTAAAGCACTCCCCTGGCATTGGTGACACGGTGGAGGAAAGGAAGGGGAAAGAGCAGCAGAGGAAAGCAGTGTCAGTACTCTTTGGTGCTATACTGCAGTCGGTTGCTTTCGCAGTGTCACCCAAGTGGAAGAGACGAGGACACCCCAGGGGAGAGATGAAAGAGGGGGAGATGCAGGGGAAGGTAGGTTCAGAGCTGAGTCTGAGAAAAGATCCCATTATCCATTATTATGCAAACAAATGGTTAAGAAGGAAATGAATGAGAGAACTGACAGTGAAGATGATTTCGTGTCAGAAAGAAGACTGGACTCAAGGGCTCTTCTAGTTTCAGGGGTCACTCAGTTACAATATACTGCTGTATTCCCTCAAGTGGAGTCTATAAATCAAATTGCTTAAAGTGACTCTAATTTTCGCATTGATTTCATTATTAAACTTACTTTGCAATGTAATTTTATAATATAAATATACTTACATATATTTATATGACATACACCTAAATATATATATTTATACCATATAAATATATTTACACTGTAATATATAAGTGATTCTGTTATGTAAGTTATTTTTATAAATTATGTAAATTATTCTAATGAACTGAG